CTTTATCTGGAAATTGGCAATTATTTCTGTCAGTGGAATTCTTCAAGTTTTTGCTTTATTTGGGTTTTCTCATTTTGGGGAAAACATTATGGGCATGTACGTTTTTTATATAATATGAAATAATATTTGAACTATGTTTTCCAAGTTAAAATCTTGTCTAGTATGTGTATATTCATACTTGTAATTTGTGCCTGTATATTTAAAACAGCTTTATTGAGATATGATTCATATATCATATAATGCGTCCATTTAAAATGTACGGTTCAGTGATTTTTAGTGTATTCACAAAGCTGTGCAGCCATCACCACCGTCCAATGTTAGAACATTTTTAGCGCTTCAGAAGAAATCCCTGTATTCGTTAGCAGTCATTCCCAAACCTTCTTTCCTTCCTGCCCCACAAAAGCCCTAAGTAGGTAACTACTAATCTACTTCCTGTCTCTGTGGATTTGCCTATTCTGGACATTTCATATAAATGGAATTGTGTCCTATGATTTTATTTTCTGACCGGTTCTTTTTATTTAGCATACTTTTTCAAAGTTCATCCAACTTCTAGCATATATCAAATTACTTCATTGCTTTTTATTATTGAATACTATTCCACTGTATGGATATACCACATTTTCTACATTTTTAAATTTTACTTTCTAAATTTAATATGTCTGAGAGACTTCTGCTTCTGGGAAGGCAGAATAGATGAGTTTTTTGGGGTTTGTTTTTTTATTTTTTGCCCTGATCTATCATAGACTCAGAGCTAGAGGAGTTGGCAGCTGGAAACACCAAAAGGTGCAGGCAACACTCTAACAGAAGTCTACTCTCTCTAGCCAGAGGACCAGGAAAGGGACAGTGTAGGCTTAAGACAGAAGACTCAGGCAGTAGCTGCTCTACTTCACACACCGCAGGGAAAAACTGTGACTGTACTCCTGCCCTTGCCAGCAAAGGCCACACAGTTAGCCCAGACTTCACCGTCTGAGTGTGGTCTGTAGTTAACAGATCCTTTATCGATTGGCATCGGGTGGTCTCCAGTGGTTTGCCGTCACAAATGGAGCTTCATTGTTCCTCTCTCTGGTGTCTTTGGGCATCTGTATAAATGTTTCTACAGAATAAACTTGTACATGTGAAATTGTTGGATGAATAGCACAAATGAAGCCTTCAAAAATAACTGTTAGATTGATGACTTCAAACTATGGAAATACAGAGGAAGTTTGATATTTTCAGTCAACTTTTTCTCTGTGTAGAGCAGGTCACTTCTAGTCTATCTTCCAGTTTATTGATTTTTTTCCTGTCTCCCTTCCATTTGGCTGTTCGGCTGTGACATCATCCTCTGAGCTTTTTTTTTTTTTTTTTTTTTTTTTGGTTATTTTATTGTGGAATTTCCTACTGGTTCTTTACATCTTCTGTTTCTTTGCTGAGGCTTTTTTCTGTGTTTTCACTTGTTTCAAGCTGTTCATAATTTCTCATTAAGGCACTTTTACCACGGCTGCTTTAAAATCTTTATCAGCAAATTCTAACATCTCTGTCATCCTGATGGCGACAGTACTGATTGCCATGTTTCATTTAGTTTGCTATGGTTCTTAGTATGACAGGTGAGTTTTGATCAAAACTTGGACATTTTCATATTATGCTATGAGACTCTGTCTGGATCTTGTTTAAGCTTGGTTTAAACTTCTCTAACAAATAAGACTTCTCTGACAGGGCTCTAGAGGAGGGTGGGCGGAGAGATGGGCGACAAGGACACTGCCTTGTTACAACCAGATAGAGAATGAATAACTTGTGGCCTCCATTGATACCCCTGGGGCAGCTACCATTTCTGCTTGGTGGGGGTGGGGGTTCCAGTTCCCTACGTTGTCGCCATTGACAATTCTTCTGGTTGATTGTGAACATCCTGACGACTGTATTCTGGGCCTCCTCTGACACCCCTCCACCCCAACCCCGAGTGGGGAGGAAGGAATAGGTCTTCCTTTTACTGGCTGGCAGGGTTGAAACACCTGGCTTCTTCCTTGGCCCCCTTGGACACAATGCTGGAGGGCACATTACAGCCTCCAGAGGGTTGATTGCATGAAATTGAGAATAAAATGATGTAGATCATAAAAAAGTTATATATAGTGTGATCACATTTTTAAGAGAGAAAAGTAGTACGTACACAGAAAATAAACATCCAGAAGATTAAGCAATTAGTGAATGGTTCAAAGGTAGGGGAACTCCGACCTTCTGCAAGGGTTTCAGTTTTTAATTACTTTTAAAATAATGAGTGTACTGTTCGAAGCGGTAAAAAGCAAAGTTCTTTTTTTTAAAGGTATACTTTTCTTAGGCACTGTTATTAGATATACCTACATGTTAATTTTTGTTATAATAAAAAACTGGGTGTAGAATAAGGTATCCTGATTTTCAGGGTATAATGCTTTCCGCTATGCCAGAACGTCCTCCTCAGTCGATTGTACCAATAGGTTATGTTCAACGTAGTTCATATTGAAGAGCATGCTTTTGATCCTTTCCCTGAAATGGAATTTTATTGAAATGTTGAAATGGAACTTTATTATGACAACATGCATTAAAGGGGGAAGTTTTTTGACTTAGGACTTCTGGAGATCTGAATCTTTCCAGTTTCACTACACTTGATGAAAACATTATCTGGTTACTACCTCTCAATCTTCTCATGCTATTAAAAGTTCAGAAAAACTTGTACTTGGCAGTTTTTCTTATTTGAATTGTCATGAGTTTTGGGAGTAGTTGATTAAAATAGCAGCTTTTCAGATCTATCTTGAAAAATGCGTACTTTTATTTGTGTGTGTGTAAAAAAATAGTTTTGCAGAGTGTATGAGATATGCAACAAGCTTTGGATATGCCTGAGATTTTAAATTTTACATCGGTAAAATTTGCTAGAAAATTATAGGCAAGCGGCTGGTGAAAGGAAAGGGGCCATTTGCATCCCGACTAAGTCTTCATGTAGCGTCCGTGTCCCAAGATCCTTCTGTCTGAACTCCAGTGTAGGCTCTGCAGATCGTCGTAGGAAATGGTGGTGTGGTGGTTTTGATCTGTAGCCCGTCACTGTTTTTCTCCAGCTTGCCTTGGGTTTAATGTCTTTCCAAGTGCCTGTATATAATATCTTTATTACAAATTCTTTACCAATATAATTATTTTAACACTGCTGTGACAGGTATCTTGGGAAATTATGGTACAGTCTATAGATAAAACAAATGGAGTAGGACAGGGTAAGTCAGACTTGTTCTTTGTCTACCAACCTTGACTGCTTTTTCAGTAAGTCTGAAATTTGGTACACGTTTTCTTATTGTTCTATTTCTGCTGCTAAGCATGTTAATACCAGGAGGGGAAAACGAAACAAGAATGATAATAAGATTTGAGTATCTAAGGCCACAACCTTGTATAAAAATATTAATCATCAAGCTATATAGAAAGATAATATCTTAATTTCTTATCTGTGATAAACTCACTTGTATGTTATCCGTGTTCCATAGGTGTTGGGATGGCCAGCATCTTCAAAAAAGCAACTTTGAGTTCCAGTTACTTTGTACCGTAGGATGACTTAGTACTATGAACTGACTTGTACTTTGAAAAAGGACTCATCCTGACCTTCCCACCCCGGTATCTCCCAGTGTGTAGAGCAGATGCTTTGCTTTGTGATCTCCTTGGGTGCCTGTAAGAAAACGAGGGGATTCCTAGGCCCCACCGAGAAATTCTTCTGAATCAGTATCTCTGGCTATAAGGCCCAGAGAGCCTCATTTAAAATGCTTTTTTAGGTTATTCTTAATCACATTAGAGTTTAAGAACTAGACCTTCTTTGGGAAGTCAAGTTTCTTGCAAGTTGCAGTACGAGTAATTAATGTGATTCACTCTGGCTACAGTTCTGTGTATGTTTCATTTCTGGTAAAGAATGATTAGAAAGAAAAAAAAGAATTCAGTTGTAACTCTCTCATGCTGTCTGTTTAGGGTAGGATTCTGGAATCCTCTTTTTATGCCCATGTATTTTGTTAGTTGTGTTACGTTTCATCAGGTAACTGCTTTATTTATTGTTTTACTCCACCGTGTCTCCCCATTAGTTTAGGAATTAGTAACTCTACTAATGTAGCATCTTACTGAAATGACTTCTGAATATTTTGAGAGTTACTTTAGGATAATAAACAGAACTTGAGCCATGCATCTCTGAATGAGCTGTTGAAAGTTTATTTTTGGCTTTCTCCACAGACTTTGTGGTGGAGATGGCTGTGTTGCTCCGTAGCAAGTGTCAGAATGTTCTCTTCCAGCATGCTGGCTTGCTTCCCCTGCTCCAGTGCCCAGTTTCCCCCCTCCCTCCTTTGTAAACTGGCAGCATATGTGACAGAAGTAAAGATCTGTCCCACCCTGATTTTTAGGAAAATTCTATCTCATCATTGAGCTAAGGGAAGTTGTCAGCTGCTCCATTCATATTAAGTAGGGTTACAGATAGTTCTTTTTAATAAAGATATCTTGTTATTTTCTTGCTCCTTGAAGGAATGTGTAAAATAGGATATGGGATTTTATAATGAATATTTTTTTAAATGGGTGGGTGTTGGTGATTACTTTATTAACTCTTTGGAAACCTGCAAGTTTTCTCCTTTATGGTGCCCTATTTAAAAAAAAAATGCTGTCTCACAGAACAGGAGATGACTTAACATTTCATAAAATTAATTAAAAAGGCAAATTAAAAAATTCACTGAAATTAGCCACATTTAAGCGCTCATTAGTTATACGTCACAAATGACTACTGTATTTGGTCAGTGGTAGTACAGATCGTTTCTACCACTGCAGAAAGTTCTCTAGGACAGTGCTGTAGCAGAGTGGCCATTTTTAAGAAGGTTGGGGGGGCAAATGAAAGAGCAGAATAAGAGACCTGAGTTTCCACCCTTCCTTCTACAGCGCAACTTCTTCTGTTTTCTCGAACCCTTGTGTATAAGTCAGGAAAAGGTCTATCGTTTTGAGTATCACCACCTTAACCCTGTTCTCCAATGTTGATTTCTCTTTCCCAGGCTGGCAGTGATGGTGAAAGCATAGGAAACTGCCCCTTCTCCCAGAGGCTCTTCATGATACTTTGGCTCAAAGGAGTTGTATTTAGTGTCACAACTGTGGACCTGAAGAGGTAAGACTTCGTTGCAGTTTGAAATCAACTTAAGTTGAGTATATACTGTTTTCAGTTTGATTCTCTCCCCATTCCTCACTTTGCGTGTGAATGTTTTCTAAAGGAAATAAATATTAAAGTTGAGCTGATTTGTGGGCAAATTTAACTTGTATAAATATTATGGATAACTCACAGTGTCAGTAAATTGCGTTTACTAGCCACTCAGTATTTTTAAGAACTTATTGTTTGTTTACCTTTAATTTCAAGAGCCGTTCCAGGAGCTAAATTTTAGTGTGGATTCAGGAATTCAGTTTTGACTTCCCAGTGTAAACGTGGAGGTCCGAAGAACTTTTTCTTTTTTTTTTTTTTTTAAAGATTTTATTTATTTATTTGTCAGAGTGAGCACAGGCAGACAGAGTGGCAGGCAGAGGCAGACGGAGAAGCAGGCTCCCGCTGAGCAAGGAGCCCAATGTGGGACTCGATCCCAGGACGCCGGGATCATGACCTGAGCCAAAGGCAGCGGCTTAACCAACTGAGCCACCCAGGCGTCCCTCCGAAGAACTTTCTAAGCAGATAGCTTATTGGTTTAGAATGTTCCACACACATGGTGTGTATAATCTGGATCCTTGAAGACAAGTGTGGGGTTTTAGGAGGATGAATGCTGCTCTGGTCTGTTTGATTTATTCTGCTTTTCAGGGAATAATGGGAATTTTCTGTAATATGATTTTAACCATATTTGGTTAAATATATTATAAAATAAGAGTGATTGTCTGTGGCCCTGTGATTGGTCTTGCTAGTTGAAGAGTTGTCTCTGTCTCTCCACAGACTAAAGTAGAGAGGGCTGAGCAGAGCCCTGATAAAGTGTAAGCTCTCCCTTAACTCAAGAGCTTCTGTTTTTCCTTAGCAAACAGGTTTGAGGTGAAGGACGTTCATAATTAGGGAAAAAGACACTTAAATCAAGGGTTAAGAGCAGTTACACTAATAGAAAATCTAGGATTGGGCAGTGGAAATGTATTCCTCTTGACACAAAGGCAGCAACGTGGTTTGCTGCTTATTATTTTAAGCGACTCAGTCACGAACAGTGTCCAGAAAGACTGTAGACGGGCTGTCACATGGGCGCGTGGTGGAATTCATGTGTGTTATCCCTCCGGGTGTCACCAAGTAAGTTATCTGGGAGCTGTCATCCTGTTCCCAGTTCTCAGCTGGCATTCCCTGGACTTCTGTCCGTTTCTTACACTTTATTCTTTAGTTACTGCTAGTGCACTTCTTTGAGATTTTTGGAGACTTAAGGTCTATTTATTGAAAATAAGCCGTGGAGTCTTCCAGGAACCCCTTCAGTTACATATGGGAATGCAGAGGTAAGTAAGCCTCTGGGATAGTGAGAGCTCAAACTACGGGCTCTTTCAGGGATTTACCTACCTCATTTTGGACAGAGCTGCTGTAAGAATGAAATAATTCATGCAGTTACCCTTCTATTGATGTTTTTTTCTCCCTACATGCACTCAAAAAGGAAGTTTCTCAATGTAACTTCTAAAAATAGACCATGCTACCAGGCACACACCCTAACTGTGTCTTAAAATACATGGATTTCTCCTATCCCATTTTTGGCTTGGAGCAAGTGAGTTGACTGCCACGCTTCGAGAAAGCCTTCTTTGAGCAGCTCAACACAGTGCTTGATTGTGGTCCCTACCGGTGATAGCGCCGTGAGCCAGGGACTCTGGTTCAGGAGAGGAAGTGGGCTCAGAATGGCTGTTTCCCTTTTCCTGTACAAACTCCTGAAGACATTATTTCTGTATGTTGGTTGATCTTTGAGGACTTACAAGTTCCAGAGTAATATACCTACGTGTAAAAATTCACCCATGGGAGGCAGGATGAAAGATTCAGGGCTTCTTAATTAGTCAGTATGACCATCCAAAGAAGATGTCTGTTTATTTTCTAGGGCTTTGTATAAAATCAACAGAGAACACTTACAATTGGAGCCTATACTAGTTTTCTTTAGAAATCTTAGGTCACTGGTGCATCTAAAACATGCTTCCCAAGGGCCAGGGAAAGTGTAGAAGTAGTACATGACCATGAATCCCCTCATCACCCCCAGGCCCCAGTCGTTCGCTTTCCCCTCGCAGATACCACTGCATTTTGGTTTGGTCTTTAACCTTCCAGACCTTTTCTATGAACTTAGACACTTAGAGTCTTGAGTAAGATTTCAGGAGAGTGAACATGGGCTCAAAAAACTGTTATAAAGTTGTAACAGAGGAGTAAAACACTCCATAGTAAAAAAGTACCGTTCATAATCTTAACGTTAAAACTTTAGATATGACTGTTCTTATAAAACTGTGGGGGAGGAAATGCCTCTAGTGCTTATTTTCTTGCTTCTCCTGGTAATTGCTAATTCCTTGCTGAAGAGGACTGATCGCAGAACTAACCGTTGGTGGAGAGCAGTAAGACTCAATTGCGAGCTATTTAGAGACCCACTCTGTGCTCTGAGAAAATTATCGTTACATGACATTTCATCCTAGAACAAGCTAGTTTCCAGTTCTGGCACCGTGTGACACGTTCTCTTTGAATGGCACTTGGTGTTAATGGCTCTGCTGGTGGTACTCCTGTGCCCCTGTGAGGCTCGGCACAGCCTCCTGTTGCTCGCCTGCCAGCGCTGCCTTCATGCTTTGGGGGGAGTCATTTCTAAACCTCATTTTCTGTTCACATCGCAATTGTATTACAGAACTTGTAGATTAAAAAAAAAAAAAGTGCCCAGGTTTCAGAAGGATTTTAGGCTTACATCAACCACCATTTAAGCAAAACCTTCAAGTAAATATAAATGAAAATATTAAAATATGGGGGCATATTTAAAGATGTTATCACGTGTCATCAAATGGGAGCAGTGGAGGAGGGAGAGAGCCCTGGTTCTGTGTGGAGAGAGCCCTGTCACTGGTTTCCCTAGGACTCTGGGCAGGACGCCTCATCTTTGGAGGTCAGTTATCTCATTTTTAAATTCATGAAAAAGGAAGGAAAACATTAACATATCTTCTTCAGTGTTCACTATGTGCTAAAACACCATTCAAGGTCCTTTTCACTATTCATTAGACCATTTTCAGACCTGTTGTTGAATAAAATTCATTGTTTTATATCCTACTTCTAGGCTGACAGGTTTGTGGCAGTGATGAAAATCTTTGAAGACTTCTGCTATCTTCATTACACCCAGAAATTTCTTTTTTTTTTTTTAAAAGATTTTTATTTATTTATTTATTTGACAGCAAGAGAGAGAGAGATCACAAGTAGGCAGAGAAGCAGGCAGAGAGAGAGGGGGAAGCAGGCTCCCCACTGAGCAGAGAGCCTGATGCGGGCCTCGATCCCAGGATCCTGGGATTATGACCTGAGCGGAAGGCAGAGGCTTAACCCACTGAGCCACCCAGGCGCCCACGCCCAGAAATTTCTAAATCAATGATCAACATCTTTAGATCAGCAATCACAGATAAGCCTAAGAGGCAGGCAAAGGGAAGAGAAAGAAGAAGGTGTGACAACAGTAATCTGCTGTCACCCCTGTCTATTATCTTTGTCTCTGTTTTTCTGACACAGGTGCATGCGCACATGCACACACATGCACAGACATGCACACACACACACACACACACACACACACGAGATGCTGACTTGGATATAAGTGAGTGTCACATACTTGCTAGGTAAGCTTTTCTATTTTTTTTAAATTATTTATTTATTTGTTTATTTGAGTGAGAGAGAGAGAGAGAGAGAGAGAGAGAGAGAAAGAACACTCAAGAGATGTCAGCGGGAGAAGCAGACTCCCTGCTGAGCAGGGAGCCCGATGTGCGACTCGATCCCAGGACTCCAGCATCATGACCTGAGCCGAAGGCAGTTGCTTAACCAACTGTGCCACCCAGGTGCCCTAGCTTTTCTAGTTTTGAGAAATGAGAGTGGAAATGAAAAAGAAATTAGTTTTTTTTAAATTGATGGCACTAGTTTATTTCCCTCTTAAAAGACCAACTGCAACCAAATGAACATAACCTCAAGATTTTATTGTCTTCATAATATAATAAAATATGAAGCTAAAAAAAAATTAAAAAAAAAATCCATGAAGCTTAGAACTGGATCACTTGGCCCTTTCTCTTCTTACCTCCTCCCAGTTCAGAACGCTTGCATCTCTTAATTAGCCAGCATTCTCTTAGATCTGCAATTGGGCTGAACACATTCAAGCCTCAGCACAATCTTCTTTGTAGTTTTAGCCTTTTTCTGGGAAATCAGCTTTGTAAGCCAACCATAGCCACTCTGCTTCCTGTCATAATGCCGCTTTCCCTGTGCATAAAGAGAATCTTTTTTCTTTCTTGTACTGTGTCACTTTGTGGGGTTGGTTCTTGCCACCCTTCTAGAAAGTCCAGTTGGTTTTAGGAACGTTCACCACGTTTGTGAGAGTGCTATCGGTATGGAAAGAAATTAGTTGTGTTTTTTTTTTTAAATTAGCTTTTTATTGTAAAAGCAGTGACATATGCTATATTGCCAGTGAATAAAATCCCTCTTCCGTGATAGTCTCTGAGAAAATAAATAAATTGGAGAAGGCTGCTTTTAAAAGATCTGGGAAATGTATGCTTCTGTTCCCATTTCCTCCTTAAACGCTGAAACTTTCTCATCCTCTGCATTGTCACAAATGGTTTCCTTCTGCTTCACATGTCAGCATACCATTTGTAAGGTATTGTGTAAGACTCACTTGTAAGTTGCTGTAATAATACCAAAGTTTAAACTTTAACAGTTTTGTAACCATTTAACATGGAGCCATAGAGCCATAAAACTGATAGTTCTGCCTATCTTGAAAGTCATTTATAAACTCAGAACAAAATCTGATTTCTAAATAGATTCTTCAGATCGTTTGCTTTCCTTGTCATGTTTCTGTGGTTCCATCCTTCTGAAAAATGGCTTCAGGAAGCTGAGAGATAAGTTTGGTTTCCAGGTGGTGACAGTGGTGTGAATGACACATACAGAGAGACTGAATGGAATGGGACAGGCCAGCCTTT